CATAGGCAGCATGTTAATTCTGACCCTGCACTCTAGCACAAACTCCAGATGTCATTTTCTACTATAAGAAAGACGTTCATGTTGTTATCTCAGAACCTGAGCCAGCAACCTCCCCCTACTCTAAATTGACCTTTCTCAAAGACCTGGCGCCCTTAGTTACTGTTGCTACATCCGACAAACCATGGCACTTTTATACCATACATCATGTTCTCACGCATTGAAAAATACATCACGGAGCAAAGAGGACACTGACAATGAGCTGACAGACAAGACAGAACTGGTTAATTTTAGTATGAAACAAAGTCTCAGTGTTCAAATTTTGTCTTTTTTTTTTTTAAAGAAATTCAAACAACAAATACCGTATTGTGGCTCTTTAACGTGTTGTGACAGATCGCTGTAGCGCCTCAGTTCAAGCGGCACATGAACTGATCATCTCTTCATCTTTACTATTCATAGCACGAAATAAACATGAATGAACATCAGAAGGTATCTTGTTTCAACCGTGAAAAGATGTCAATACACACCATTTTTCAAGTTCAAGTCCACCGTTGTTAATCTACTCTCCTGTCTGGTTTGTTTGTTGGACAAAAATGACGGATTTGGCGTTATAATATGTCAGACTGCCTGTTAATCAAACTCCCGGCGAAAAGGTCAATTGAGCAGCCAATATTGGGCAAAGTACAGAAATAACTGGGGCTAATAATGCCTGCAGTTAATGCCACATGCTGCACTTTAAATAGATTTTTTTAATGATATAACATCTTTGTTTCATTTGGAGCGACCAATAATAGCAATAACTGTATTAAATTAAAAATAAAATATAAAATTTCTGTGGTTGAAATATGAATCACTGCTACAGTATGCTTAAGTGAATGGTATTTTTAAAACATTTTTATCAGTTTTATGCAATTTAAAGGAAAAATCAGTCTGTTAACTACATTTAAGAAGGCAACTCTGAAATTATAGAACAAAAATAAGAGATCATTATTTACAAAAACTCAAATTAAATGCAAATACTTTGTTTATAAACACTTTAATTACTGAGAGCATTTTAAAAAATGTTAAGCATGTTAAGGAAATTATTTAATTTTAATATAAATCATGGTCGCACCATATGACATTTTTCAAGGCTACGGCCAATTCATCTAGATGCAAAAACACTAAAATCCCTTAATTAAAAATTGTAATATGAATTTATGTGTACACAACATTCTTAATGTTTGAACAATTACAACAGATATTATTATTTTTTGTATTTTAAAATTCGTCAACGTCAATGACCCATATATATATTTTTTTTTTTTCAAATGAATGTTATTCTTTTAATCTTTCTATTAGTGAAGGAAAAAAGGAACATGCCTTCCACAAAACAAATTTAAATTAATTGAGCAGCACAACCATTTTCAACATTGAAAACAATAAGACAAGAATGATTATTTTTTGTTCAAAAACAAGAATGATTTCTGAAGGATCATGTGACACTGACTGAAAACTGGAGTAATGGCCGCTGACTGGTTTTGCTATAACAGTAATAAACTGCATTTTAAAATTTATTTTAATTTAGAAGAGTTATTTTAAATTGCAATAATATTTCAGAATATCACTGTTTCATTGTATTTTAATCAAATAAATGCGGCCTTGTTAAGCATAACTTTTCAAAAAATGTTTTTTTTTTTTAATCTTACCACAAACCTTTGAAGGTAATGTAATTCATGCATGTTATTTTTTGTTACGTTCACTTTTACTAAATGTCTTTGATATAAAAAAAATCGAATTGCCCTTCAAACCATATTATGTCAAGCATCTGTAATTTAATTTTAAAGATGAAAAAATATAAACAAAATAACAAATATCAATAGAATGCCATTGCAAGCACCACACAGAACAAAACAGAGCTATTGTTCACCACACAGATGTAAGCAGTCCATTTCCCCACATAAATACTGCCTCTTTTGAAAAATCTGTCAAAGAATTTTGCTGGTGGGGAGTCCAGTAATCCTTCGCCCTTTGACGCAAGTACAGGTCAATTATCAATGTGTATGCTATCAGCCTAATGAGGTGTACAACTCACTGTGGAGCCTGGAAGGCAGTTTAGAGTACATAAAATGGGCACTGAAGATCAGTTGCTCAGGTGCTGCGAAATTGGCAGAGTTTCAGATCTACAGACAATAAATCCACAGAAACGGTCAAAAAATAAAGCATCACAGACAGACTCTGCTGTGACAGACACAGGTTGGGGAGAGCTCTGACCCAAAAAAACTAATACAAAGCAAACACTTTTCTTGTCTTGGAAATAATCCTTCCATTGTTCTGCAGCCAGATTTTGTTATTTAACTTGTCTAGGCCAAAACAACCGTGAGTTCAATTGAGGCCAGTGTATGCAGCAGCCCTGTCGGTTTTGGTTTCTTGGGGATTGAAGGGAGTGTGTGTGTCTATGTACAGATAAACAGAGTGGGAACTTCACAGGTAGGGTGAAGACTGCATTCAGCCCTAACTGCAAGTAAAATAAAACTGTTTAGACAATCATACGCTGCTTCTCCCCATCCGTAACAGTAGCTTGTTCTATCCGATGTGGCGGATGCTCTATTGACAGCTGTCAACATATCACACTTAATGACAGAATTAGCGAGAAGAGTCATGTATATAAAAGCTTGGTAGCGAATGTATATTCTCTCCCAGAGGGGAAAACGAACAAGTGACAAGTCTAGCCAACGCTCAGTTAATGTAACCTGTCGGTGGAGAGCGCAAAGCTCTCAAGTCACATTCTCCACTCGTGATTGACAGCAGAAGAGATATGAGGAAAGATAAAGTGTCTTTGACGATCTATGTATCATAAACGTGACTTCGTTACAGAAACATCAGGAAACAAATGTCTGCGATGGGTCACCACAGATCTTTGGTTTCAATCCCAGGTATGAAACAGACGATTATACAACTGACTAAAACAAAAAATAGCCTACTACAAAATTGCGGACAAGAAGTACAATTTAGCACACTTTATTAAATAAAAAGGTAATTAACCTTTTTAAATAACTTAAGCGAAATCCTTGCTAAACTCTGTGTGCAAGAGGCGAAAAGTCCCAGAGAAATCTGGTTCTGATGGCCTAATTGACATCCTTAACATGAGCTCCATGCTTTGAAATGTATCAGTGAAAAAGGGCGTCTGAGGTCATACAGTGCCTGGAGCACAGTGCAGATCCCAGGGTGTGAAAACAAACTTACCATCATCTTCTCAAACAAGTCCATGATCTCTTTCTCTGACAGGTTCATGGAGCGCTCGTCGAAAAGCGGCTGGGGCACAGGCAGCTCAGTCTGGGTGGAGATCGGGTCTGTGGGGTGCTGGATAAAAGGCTTCTCCTTCTTCATGCCTTGCTTTCGAAAACTGGTGATTCTGTCACGCTGGAAAGACAGTTGAGTTAGAGTGAAGTAAATAACTGGTGCATATGTCAGAACATATAAACAGCACATATATCTGACAGTGGAAATGCTAATACTCTGCAAGGGAAAAAAAACTGTTTAACATCTATGACCCTGTGAAATACCTCTGTTTATGTATTTCTTACTAAGACAGGATGTTTAGGAGAGGCATATTAAAGGGTTTGTCCATTTTTTGCAGGGGAAAGGACATTCTCATTTGATTAGACAAAATGTGAACTGCAACATGAGTCAAAAAAAATTATACTTTTATTCAGAAAGGATGCATTAAATTGATCAAAAGTGACAGTAAAAAATTTTAATTGTTGCAAATGCTGTTCTTTTACATTTCATTCCTCACACAAAAATATTAAGCAGCACAACTGTTTTCAACATTGATAATAATAAGAAATGTTTCTTGAGCAACAAATCAGCATATTAGAATTATTTCTGAAGGATGAAAGTTCAGCTTGGCATCACAGGAATAAATTACATTTTAAAATGTATTAAAATAGGAAACAGTCATTTTAAATTATAACAATATTTCATAATAATACTGTTTTATTGTATTTTTGATCAAATAATTGCAACCTTGCCTAACCTAAACTGTCAAAAACGTTTTTAAAAAAAATTTTAACAGTAGTGTGAATTTTCAACATTCAAGAGTATACAAGCAAATAAATGGCCTTAAAGATAATACACATGGACTAAAAACCGCAAAACTCCCCTTACAATTTCACAGGGGTCTTTTTAAGTTAATACAAAACAGTTCGGTTACTTATCATAAAGTTTTAAAATGTGGTTTAAAGTTCATAGCTTTATATTTGACTTACCTGCTCCCTTGTTACTTTACCTTTCCAAGCTGTACTTTTAAAAGCATGAGGGGATATTACCTGTGTCATCTTTCCACTTGTTAATATTCACTTTACAGTCATAATGAATACAGAAACAATATCACAGACAGCATTCTGCACTAGACAGCAAGATGTGACTATGACGTGTTTAAGGTTTCTAATTAGAAAGAGATGTGAGCGGCTTCTGTCAGTATTCCAGTCATGGGTTACTGGATCAGAGAGAGTGAAAACAGACCATGCACTAGTAGTCACTGTTAGTCTGTCAGTGAAAACAAAGGGAACATGCATGGATGAATTCAAAATAAATGAATTAAAAGAATCAAAACACACTCTGTTGTAAAATGCAAGTGTTCAAGGAGAGACCAAAGTCAAAATGAAGACAAGGTCTGGCAACTTATCATGAACGATTGCATCAAGTTACAATGTGTCTGCTTGAACTCCAGCTTGCTGACCCAGAGTGAACTTTAGACTGACTGATTATGATGGACCCGATGACAGGGTGATTTAAAAAAAAATGTTTTTGTCTTTGATCTCTCTTTGTCAATCACTTCACTTTAACAATGCTCTGAGAGTCGTGGCGAAGATGAGAAAAAGATAAAGAAAGACACACAAAATAAAAGAAACAGACACCTTACCATGTCATCAGCCAATGTTTTTATGTGTATGTTCTGTTGAAGGGAAGGGACAACATAGAAATGAGGCCCAATGGAACCCACAACCACATGCGATAAATGACAGATTTATGCAGCAAACAAACAAACAAATAAATAAATAAAAATCAGATCATAAGCAAACGACCAGCTGCAGCAGAGAAAGCTGAACCCATTGCTAGTGCAAATCATCTATCATTTAAACAGACAGACATAAACTAATCTCTGTTACATGTAGAGTGGAGTCTATTCATTTACAACATAAACTAATCTTTGTTTATATAACAGCAGGACTAATGAAGATACATTTTTTAAACATATCACTTCACACCAACTGGCCTTACAAAAACAGAAATTAAACTTTGATGAGCAAGGCTAACTATAAACAGACACGTTCTACCCAGTATCACAGCAGAGACAACACAGGAAGAGGAGAGCGAGACAGACCACTCTGAAGGAATTTATTAGGGAAACAGCAAAAGTTAGCCAAGGATCTTTGGTCCTAGTCTGTCTCCTTTGAGCTCCATGTGTTCATTCCTCAGAGTGAACAGTCTGACTATGTTTACACACTTTTCAGTTATTCCAAATTACATTTAATATGACTGCAGATTCCAAAATAAAGTTTGCATGTACCCTAAACTCTGAAATCTAATAAAAAAACCTGTAAAATGTATTATAAAAAATATACATATAAAATATAAAAATCAATTTTAAAAAAGTAAACTTAAATTTATGTCATTAAAAAAGACATTAATTCTGAATAAACAATGAGATTAATTATTAAGATGCTGATAGGCTAAACCTATAGCTAGTGAGCCCTACTGAAAAGGTTTTCCAAAATAAAAACCCTTTGGCCAACCAGATTAACCAGAATATATTCATACTGTTCACTAGCAAAATTCAAATGCTTATTATTCTATAATCCATATGAATACAGCTTTAATATCCAGATATTATCTAAAAGACTACATGAAATTCTTATAAAATTATATTACTTATAAAAAAATATATTATTATAAAAAAAAAAAAATTGTGCCACACCACAGAACCATTAAACTGAAACTAAAGAAGGCACAAAAGGTGATTCAAATCAGGGGATCTGGGAAAGCTTTCAAAAGATTGTTGACCAGTCATGTATGTGTGTGTGTGTGTGTGTGTGTGTGTTTAAACCTGTGACTTTTTCTTCTGCAGAAACAAAAGATTATATTTTTTAAGAATGTTGGGGTTTAAACAACATTGGACCCCATGGACTTTCATTGTATGGACAGAGGTGAAAAAAAAACACTACAAAACGTTTCAAAATATTGGCTTTGTTTCACAGAAGAAAGAAAATCATGCCGATTTTGGAATGGCATATTTTTGGGTGGTGAACTCAACTGCTAATTTAATCATTTATATTTAGTAGACACCTTTAATCAATGCAACTTACATTTCATACATGATATCATCAAAGTTCTAGAACTGCTCAAAAAAGCATGAACTAGTACAGAGATGTCTGTGAAACAAGAGAAAAAGTGACTTTTCTGGTAAAGATGGTGGACCAAAGTAGTCTTGCTGGCTGATCTCATCAATCAACCTTATAGTGACACCAATGCAAAGGCAATCCCATGCTGGATAGCAGAATCCAAAACCCAACACATGCAGGTCTATCCAGCGGGGTCTGCTGAATCTCACTGTGAATTCTGCTCTTCATGAAGCAACCCATTAGATACATCTTTAAACCTGATCAGTCTGACTGTATTGACCTCAAACACAATTTAAAAAAACTTCTCTCTTCCTTCACTCACTTCCTAACATATGTGCTTTATCTTTTTGGCCACTGCAGAGATAGGAGTTTATGAGATGGAGCACGCAGGGGAAGAGATGGGTCTCCATATGCCGTGCGGAGCGGGATGAGTGTTAACGAGCAGAGCACCGCGGAGGAGCTGCCATAATGCAGAACTTCCCGCAGGTTTCCTCACTCTACGGTTAATCTCTCAGCCCCCCGGTCCTGCGCTTACCCAGCCATTATAGCGCTGCCCCAGGGCTGCAGGCTGCACACTGCTTTTTGCAACAGTTGGGATGGAAGGGGAGGTTTGATATGAATGGAGGTGTGTCATGGGAGTGAATCATCTATAATGATACACAAGCCTTTAATAACAAAGAACGTTTAATGCTTTAAAAGGGTCATAAAGAGGTCCGTACTAAGCCCAAACCAGACTTGCCAGCAAAGACTTTTATGGAAAGATATTGTTAAAATAATAATGACTGAATTGGGATTATTGTATTACAGATCCAACAGCCTGAAGTGGCTTCATAGTGTAAGGCCCTGTATAACACAAGATGTGCATTTGTTATTGAAAGTAATTAAAATCTTAAAATCTAATTAAAAACCATTTAACAACTTTGCATAATTGTGTTTTGACTCCAGGGCTGGTCATTAATATTGCAGCTCGACAACACATCAGGCACTCAACCAGGCCAAATATTGCATTATGATTTAACGACACACCTTCAGGGCAACAGAACTTTATTAAATTCTTTATCAAAATAAAGCTATATACATTACAGAAAATTCCCAAACCCCCACAACAGCAGTATTAATACAGCCCCCAGCTCCTGCATAAAGAGTGACATAAATTGCAGTCGAACAGGTCAACACATTACACAACTACTCAGGTCCAAGTTAACTCTTAAGTTAGCTAATTGGAAACACTCAAGAGGAGAGAACAGTGTCGTTTTAGTTAGAGAGTCCTTATGGTAGGCTCACTTGTCAGCAGAAGTGCAAATGGTGCTATTATGCGAAATGCCACTAGATGGCACACACCATTCAACACATCCAGTTGGTCAATCAATGTTTTACAAAAGCCATTCTAAGCATTAAACAGCTTACAAAACATGTCCAACAATTTGGAGAGGAGAAAGTAGCTTCTAGCTGACACCACCTGCTTCGCTGGCCATTCTTACATAGGGAAAACAACCAGAGAGGATGGGGATAGCAACAAAAATCTGTTGCAAATGGTTTCTGGGAAATCGGGTTATTTTAATTGGTCTTAATTGTACTCAAACAACGGATTGCTTGAACCCAACAGTTCTTGGCAACTCGCAGTCACTCCGTCTCGAGAATGGAGCTTTCAGTGGCCAGCAGCTCCTCTCATTCACATTCTTCACACAGGAATGTTTTAATTAAATACACAGCTGGGAAGAGTGCGCCAAACCCTATAATAGACGTACACAAATATCAGGCTAGATTTCACAGCCAGAATCAAGATATTAAAAAGAATGGGTTTCTAACTGGCCATAAACCTTTTATGCAGATAATCCTGCAGTACAGTAAAGCCCAGATCACTCTTGATTAAATATCAGCGCTGCTCTTGTACTATGGGGTGCTCACTGCTCACAAAAGCTTTGACCACTACCCTACCAGATTGTTGGTTGTATTTGCCCACAGAGTGATAGTACAGGCCAACAGGATACCAAACAAAAGCCTGATGGGAAGAAAGACAACGGTAATAGCACAAAGGGGGTGGCTATGGGACACGTCAGGTTAATAAATCACAGAAATTAATTTTCACAATGACTGCTGCCTCAGTTTTTATGATGGCAATTTGCATATACTCCAGAATGTTATGAAGAGCGATCAGATGAATTGCAATTAATTGCAAAGTCCCTCTTCGCCATTAAAATTAACTTGATCCCAAAAACATTTCCACTGCATTTCAGCCTTGCCACAAAAGGACCAGCTGACATCATGACAGTGATTCTCTCATTAACACAGGTGAGAGTGTTGATGAGGACAAGGCTAGAGATCCCTCTGTCATGCTGATTGAGTTAGAATAACAGACTGGAAGCTTTAAAAGGAGGGTGGTGCTTGAAATCATTGTTCTTCCTCTGTTACTATCATGGTTACCTGCAAGGAAATATGTGCAGTTATCATTGCTTTGCACAAAAAGGGATTCACAGGCAAGGATAATGCTGCTAGTAAGATTGTACCTAAATCAATCATTTATCGGATCATCAAGAACTTCAAGGGGAGAGGTTCAATTGCTGTGAAGAAGGCTTCAGGGCTCGCAAGAAAGTCCAGCAAGCGCCAGGACCGTCTCCTAAAGTTGATTCAGCTATGGGATCGGGCACCAACAGTGCAGAGCTTGCTCAGGAATGGCAGCAGGCAGGTGTGAGTGCCTCTGCACGCACAGTGGCTACGTTTACATGCACAATATTTGGGTTAATCGGATTGAATTAATTCCGATTGATGAATCTGAATGTAGTGTTTATATGAACGCTAAATAAATTGATCGGGTTGATGTGCGCGTTTATATGTCACAAGCTTCAAATCGGAATTGACTTTTTTTGACATGCGCACACTAGGGGCTGAACGACTACTGATTTTTTGAAGTCGACTTTTATGTGATGAAAGTCGAGTTGAAGTCGACTAGTCGCTGATGACGTCATTAATGAACAAATAAGTCTGGAGCGGTGAAAAACACCTTGTGCACAGCTATGACATATGACACAGCGCTGCCCACATGGCTATTGCTCATATAACAGCTCTTTTATCAGTTCTTTTGTCTTTGGGTCGTTATATATCTCACAGATTTCTGCTTGTTCTAAATCAGATACAGATAAAGTAGCACAGTAAAGATTACATTAATATGAATGCATTAGTGAGAGTGATTGCGTGTGTGAATTAATTCTATATGGCAGCGTCTCTCTACTAGTAGTGAAGCTGTGGAATTTAGTTATTAAGAAATATATGCTTGAACTTTTCAGTTTCTAAGCTATTTTATTGAGAAATCACAGAACAGTGTTGACAATACATTTCCGCGCTGAATAGTTATGTGCGCGTGATGTACGCGCTACTGTCTGTAGCCTATGTGTGTGCATTACAGTGCTGCAGCGCATTAGATTAGAACGGCGATTCATTTACCTGTGCAATAAGCTGTTTAAAATGTGCATTCTCCCGTTCAATTTCGAGCATCCAGTAATATAATCACACATGTCTTGTGGAGCTCTTTTAGAGTATGCATTTATTTGTCATT